CATTGAAGCTGGCCACACTGCATAGGTGATCCGCTTTCTTACCGGGCAGGGGCCGGGACCGAGCCACCGCCACCAAAGCGGACCGGGACAGGAGCCGGGACCGGGACCGGGACCGGGCCACCGGGCCACCAAAACCAGACCATAGAACCGGGACCGGGACCGGGCCACCGGGCCACCAAAACCAGACCATGAACGGGACCAGGACCGGGATCGGGACCGGGCCACCGGGCCACCAAAGCCAGACCCAGAACCGGGACCGCGACCGGACAGGGGCGGGACCACCTGGCCGCCGCCACACGAGCGGACCAGACAAAAATAAACCTGTACCCCAAAGGAGAGCACGGTAACATCAGTTCTGCGCGCCAGGGCGGACTGTCTGCCTGTGCCTGGGAGGAGCTCCATAAGGGGTATATTCGTAAAGCTCGTCATGAAGCCTCTGGAAGTACGGTTCCCAAGCATGATCCTTACACAGGGAGAGAAATGGCGAAATCTTGTGCATCTGGCGTAGGTGAATCAGGACTCTGGCCGCCCCGTGAAATTGTTTGTCACCGTGGTTCCGCTCTACCTGTAGCATCCCATAACTCAGTACGTGGGCTTCAACAGTAGATCTGAACTGAGTAGATTCTGAGTAGATATAATAATCCCCAAGCCTAAAACTGGACCAGGGATTTCCATATATTCCAGTGTATGACCCAAGAGAGCACTGCGAGGTCGCTTTCCCCTTCCCAAACTGTGCCACCGGTATCCCTGGACAAGACATTATGGCGCTGAAACTTGCTTAGTATTTGATGTCTCTGCAGGACCCCAGCTTCCCGCCAACCCAGGCCTCGCTGTGCCACGACTGGAAGGCAGGTGTATTTGACCGTATTTGACCCCATAGTGAGCCATAGTGCCGTGGAGCCTAGGCATTGCCACGTACGAAGGCGGACTTCTTTGCGAAGCTGGTGTCTGGAGCTGAGCTGAGCACACCTCCCAGCTCAGGGTGCCAGGACAGGCAGATGCCTGTTTGCAGGTGGTCACGCGCAGAGAAAAGCACCGATCCAGAGGCCTGTACCGCTTCCTCAAGTTGCACCCAGGCACGTGCAGAAGCGTTGAACGCAATTTGCCCAAGGTGTCCACTTTCCCTGCAGAAGGGCCTAAACCGATGGATGTGCGGCAGGCAGATGCGTGTGGTGGGCTGGCTTTGAAAATTTGAAAGTGAAGCTATGCACGAAGGGCATGCTCGGCGACTGCTACTTCTTGGCAGCACTGAGCTCCATTGCAGAGGCACAGTTCAAGTAGCTGCGAAGCATGAGGCCAGTGCATCATGTCCGTCCCCCCCAGCTGCAACAGACCCTAAACTCTGTGAGCCGCGCTTTCTTAAGTGGCAGTGTCTCGGCTCAAAGCCTTCTTGCGAGATGCCGATGAAACGCAAGGCCGTAGAGAGGGGGCGAAATGCCAAATTGGCCGACAAACCCGCAGGAGTCGCAGGAGGCGATGCAGAGGGGAACTGACGGGGTCACGAGGTTGCGCAGAGTCTGGCACGGCAGCCTTGCCTCAGGCAGTGCTGCCTTCAAGGTTGTCGAGCCTTCCAGCACTGGTCTTGATAACAAGCTGCTGCCGGAGCCTGAGCTGCTGCGTTTGCTTCATTGCGGTATGGAGACGCTGCATGCCACCGGCAACCTAAGGCAGGATTATGCGACTTGCCTTCATGTTTGCTTGCAAAGACATGGCCGCATGCTGAATCTGACTTCCCACTGGTTATCTCTCGGCTAAGGTGACGGAGATGCGGCAAGTTGTGCGGAAGGGTCACGGGATGCAATAGAAAGAAGACACTGCTCGCACATTAGCTAGGCAGCAGACGTGCAGTGTTGTCCGTGTAGCCAGGGAATCAGGGAATCAAATAGGAAACCCAGGTATTATCTCTGGATGCATCAGCATTGCCTACCACAAGGGCGAGGCGTGGTCTGGACATAGCAGCAGTTGAGCAATGGAGTGTAGAACATGCTTCGACCACGTAGCATTTTGCTCAAGGGCCAGCTGTCTAGCCGAGTTGCCAAGCATGCCGCCGAATGTGGCAAGCCAGCTAAAGGGCTTCGGCGATGCGACGGCAGGAGCCGATCTGAAATATTACTTCAACTCAGCCAGGCCTTTCTTCAGAAATGGACTCATGAGCTTCTTCCAGCACAATGCACCCAAGCAGCGCAGGATGCACCACGCCACTGGGAGTGGAAGTGGAAGTCCAAGTTACAAACGGTGCCCAGGTCCCGAGCCAAGAAGCATCAAACATCAGATTCAGCATACGCAAGTTGCCCGGCCGGTTTCTGGCAAGTTCTCCCGTGCCAGATGTGGAAGTCCTTTGTGAGCTTCGCAGCTGGAGCAGCGTATGGGCTCACGTCCGTGGCAGTGGGGCAGCCTTTTGACACCATAAAGACGCGCATGTGTCATGGCTACCAATCAGCATTTCAAGGTCAGCTTTGCATAGCTTCTCGTCAATACAGCTTTGCTATCTAGCAGGCAAGCAAAGCCTGACGCGGTCCGAGCAAGCGCGTGGAAAGTCGGAGCTGATGTCCTGCAGAACCAGGGCCTACGAGGCTTGTACAGAGGACTCGCTAATAAGCTGCTGATTGCTTTTTGGGACGTTGGGTGAACCGTTTCCGGTGAGCATGCAGGAGGGCTTCCAGTTGTGCTGGGCGGCACCATGTTTCGATCAGCACAGTTTGGCTTCTACGATTTCGCCCTCAGGACGTACGGCTTGTGCAGCAATCCGTGGGCCTGTTAATGTGAAGCCACCTGCAGGAACCTCAAGCACTCGACACCTGCGTGGCAGATTGGCTTTCTTGACTGGCAGCTCGGCAACAACCGTCATTTGAGTCCGGCCACGTTCACTGCGGCAAGCTGCCCGGCAAGGCAAGTAGCTGTGGCTGGTGCCATGGGTGGTTTCGCTCGTGGTGTTATCGAGGCTTTCGTGCTGCGCAGCAACGTGATAAGAGCCACTCCATTCTGCTTTTATGTGCCAGCTTGCATGGAACAGTTTATTTCCTGTGATGAGGCCCCTTTCGACCTGGTGAAAGTCTGCAGACAAGTTGAGCATCAGTGGAGCATCAAGATTCTGGCCGCATCGAGTTGTGCGATTGTGGGTTTGCAGAGCGAAAAGACTCATGAAAGTCTGATTCCATGTTCATCCTCAGGACTTTGCTGCATGGCTCATCCATCACCATTGCACGAAACATGGGGCTCTTCAGCAGCTTCTCGATTTATCGCGATATACTATCCACTCTGAATCCTTCTGGAATCCCACCATTCTGGATGGGTGCAATCTGCTCCAATCTGGCATGGCTTACAATTTGGCCTCTTGCGGCTTGTCCCCAGTTCTGGTGTTGACCTTGCATTTGCTGCTCTTGGCAGAATTGTTCAAGCATGTCGTCAGGATGTCATTAAAAGCCAGAAGCAGAGCGGCAACTTTGACTCGAAGATCCTGGCTCTTAAATACTAACGGCTTAGCAAGATTGAGAATGACTCGAGCCCCTCTTCTGCATTGTGCCTCAGCTGAGAATCTGAGGAGTTGCCGCAGACTGCTGGTGGAGGCTGCAAAGAGCGGCCTCCTCTTCAGAGGCCTCGCCCCGGGCCTCCTGCGCAGTACCGCTGGAAACCTAACTGGTAGGATGGCATGTGCGGGCTTCATGGTTCCAACAGCCTTGATGCTAAGTTGGCGAATGGGACGGCTATGGTGGCATATAAGAAGGTAGAGGACCGATCGAGCTCTAACAAGGAAGTAATTAGATAAAAAAAAGGCGCTAGGGCTGTGAAGGAGATGGCTGATGTGACCTTGCCACGCTGGCGCTGAACACCAATGGCATTGAGCGATGTCCTGGTGCAGTTGCTGCCCAGGCGTTCATGGACTTCTGACTTAGCGTGGGAAGCGTCAGGAGAGACTTAGCCAGAAGCGAGGGAAGCGAGGCCGAGGCCTTTGACCTTCCAAGGTTAGAGTCTCAGAACAACTTAAAAGGACGCAGTACGCACTGGTTAGTCATCTTCTGAGAACCACAGTTCACGGTCTGGCGGCTGAGTTGCTGAGGGTTTGGAAGAGCCCTTTGAACTCAGATAGCGTTTGAACCATTTTCTCGCCTAGTGACCAAGCTGAACATTATTTTCCAGTCAGACCCAAACTGTTTCAACATCGAATTCGAGTTAGATCGGCGTGAAGCAAGATTTCTGGGCATCCGCGCGTCGTGGAGCCTTGAGGAGCGTTTGGCTTCGTGGGGCTACGTTTGGCCCGCCTGCCCGCTTGCCCGGATCTTGCGACACATTTGCTGCGGGAATGATAACATATGTGCAGGATCGAAATGGTGTACGGCCATGATCTTATATCAGGCTTCTCAAGGCGAAGAGACCTTCATAAGGAACACGAGAAATCCTGGCATGTGTGAGTCTAGATGTTGGTGTTGCATCCTGCAAGATGTAGAAGGCGCTCGTTTTGAGCATTGCATCCTTCATTGCTCAAGACACATAACCCAAAGATCCTGCGTTGTTGTGTGGAGATCGCCTTCATCTCGGCTGGATGTGGCATGATCGCTGTACAGCCGGCTGACAGTGCTGCAGCCGTCAGACCTTGAAGCTTCCCACGGAAAAAAATGCGCGAGGCTGCCTTTAGATACTGCGGTGGCAGTGTGAATCTGAGCCAGGTAGTTCTAGCAGACGCGGTGGGCTTGGCAGACGTAGAGCGCGGCATCCCATTTTCCTTTGATACGTACTGCCGCATGTACTGCGTACTTTGGCAGCATGTCCAAGGACGTTTCCATTATAATTTCTACGGGTCTGATGCTGGCATGCTAGTGATGTTGGGAGCCACGCAAAGGCAACAAAGCCGTTCATTGCCATCGCAATATTCAGGCCTTTTTTCTGGATGCGATGATGTGCTGAGTGCTGACATCATACACCCATGAGATTGAGGCTGGCAGAGGAGGGGAGGTTGGACCTGAACGATCGCCGCAGCCTCATGAAGCTGCTAGCAGAATTTTCGTAGCTGCTCGGCCAGTCTTGCTCCCCATCAGGCCTGGACAAGTACATCCCTGAATTTGGGGAAGTTCTAGTCCAGCCGGAGACTCGACTCAATTAGCGGAAGAATGACGAGGACCATCAAACCGCACGTGTCACAGCTGAACGTGTTGCTAAGGAAGGTGCGGATGCACCAGTGCGGCCAAAGCGTCCAATCTTGTTGAAACATCTACTTTGTCACTGTTCAGGCACAGCCGGCCAAATAATGTCACATCAGTGCCAGTAGTCATTGGCTCTACCCAGGCATTGCCTACGCGCCCGATGTCGGCGAATCAGTTGAAGATGAGAGTTCGCGGGCATACCTTCAGCTGCAGCAAGATGTGCACCTGGGTTGAAATGAAGGTAGGTCGCATGGCTACCCAGCACAGAGCAATGCAGGAGCATGTTTGAGTACTCTCTCAGGCAGCAGAAGAGAATCAAGACCCTGGCTGACTTCGCACGAGGTATTGCCAGAGTTCCACTCTCAGATCATCCGGGGAGCCTTGGATAGAGTATGGGTATGGGACGGTATGGTTAGGGATTGCAAAGCACCAGCTCACTAGCAAGCTTTGGCTTGCGCAGAGTCCAGTGCCAGGAACTCCTACTGGTATGGATTTTCCTTCGACGTGCTAGGGCGAGTCTTGGAAGTGGTTGGGAAGAAGAGGTTGGACAAGGTCTGGATCTGAGGAACTGACAGCCGCAGCTGGTGACATGTCAGTGGCCGTGGCCAAGGTCCTTGCTGAGACCGTTTTTGAGCCCTTGGGTATGAAGCATACGAAATGGGCGGTGCGGCGTGAAGAGCTTCCTAAGCTTGCTGCCTGTCGCCTCGTTGCAAGGACCATGCCACCATGCCGCCCCATGCCTGTTTGTTTGCTGCGAGGGTTGGCCCTCAGGCTATGCTCACAAGGCGACATGGAGAAAGAGCCCTGGCTTCAGAAGGTAGTGCATGGAGAAAGTAGGTGGGTAGGCCTGAACATTGACATTCTGTCTGCTGACTTGCAGCATCAACGTCTTCCACATGGGTTCAATGTTCCGTCTGGTTATGCTGCTTGATTTAGTTCCAAAAACCGAGATTACAAGGCAGCAGGAACCACAACCCTTCTGAAGCCTCTTAGAGCCCCCGGAGCACGACCCTGGGTTCCAAAAAAGCTTTCATTGCTCAGCGATGGGGGTGAGCTTTGCTTGAGGGTCCGACCCTGCCTTAGCAGCCATGTCCCTTTGCAGGCTCTACGGCCACATGAAGGGTCGCGTGCCAAGCGCGCAGCGTCCGAGCCTTGTCCGCATCGACGGCAACAAGGCGTGCCTTGGAAGCACGGCCAAACAAACAAGCACCGCCAAGCACCTTAGAAGAGCCCTGCCGAGTTGTCATTGCGCAGCTCAGCTGCTGAGGCATGACAGCCATTGGCTGCAGGGGCAAGAGTGCAGCGTCTTGGCTTTTTTTGCCCAGTTTCTGCCGCTGCTTCTTCGTGAATCCCGATTCTCATATGTCTCTGCAGGAGTGCATTCCGGTGGCGGCTTCATGGGCTATCTTTATGGTGGCCTGGTTTCTTGCCTTCTGGAAAGCTAACTGGCCTTTGCATCTTGTGCCCCGTCAGCTATGCTGGAACAAAGGTCAGCACAGTTGCCGACACGGCACGATTTGTGCCTGGACAGCCTCCAGTCCTTTCAGAGAAGAGTCAATTATGAAGTTCATCGTTTGGCTCAGGTCCGCATGCTCATGCGAAAGGGGAAACTGGATAATGGGCGCAGATTCCTAACGGCTTCCTCGATTACAGCCATGGAAAAAAATCGCATGAAAGAAGGTGTTGATCCTGCGCCACAACTGCACTTGAACCACAAACTGATGTCGTGCCCTTATATGGAAGGTGCAGTTAGCTAAGGTCAACTACCTGGGCAACATTGGAACATATAGAAAGAATGGCACAGAGTATGGAATGGGTGGCGCTGCATGCAGCTCAGCTGAGATAAACGGCCGTGCGGCAGCCGTGTTCAACTGACGCCTTTTGTAAGCAACAGTGGGACTCAGTGGGTTGTCACTGCGGTGGACCTGGATGAGGTACATATTGGTCCATAGATCGGGCAGACGACACTGCCACTCTTTGGTTCACCCAGCATGTGGACATGCCTCTTACTTGCACTTGGTTGGATTGTGACATGTATGAGATCAGCATAGCTCAAGACTTATCATGTGGTCTTTCGCAGAGTCCTTTCCACCCAACCTTTGGATGGACCTGGCTCCTTACTTCTACATGCTGTCAGGCCTGAAGTTGCCGATATGCCGCTTGGAGCTGGTAGTGCGTGAGGATTTCGAAGAAGTGGCAGCAGATGCAAGCAGATTGAAGCAGCGGCTTCGATAGGCACGTCTATTGTAAGGAAAGGTATCGACACCAAGAAAGCAGACCTCTGGCATATGTTGCACAGAGCGGTCGTCAAGGGTTCCAAGCTGCAACCTCAGCCACTTTCTGGAAGCAGCAACTACCATCCTTCACTGGATTGCAAGGCACAAATATGCTGGTGTCATGGGTTCATCTCGACAGGCAGACTCCGAAGAGAAGGAGCACGTGCCAACCTCAATGTGCTGCCTCCCTGATGGTGACTACCCTGTTCCGAAAAGAGGGTACTGTAGTCAAAGCGAAGCACCAGCTTGCAATGGTCATACATGCGAAAGCTCTGAGGTCCAAACCTGCAATACCAGCAGCCAAGCGTGCAAGATCAGAATGACTAGCACGCTTTTTCCGGTTTTCTGAGAAAGGCATCCAAATCCTGGAGCCTACCTGAAAGCCTGGCAAGTTTTGCAGAAGCACATCTTGACTGACAAGCTTGAATGAAGTGGATCAGAAACCTAGGCAAACTGGATTTGTACGTGCATGCTTCCACGCATGGCTTCTGCGAATCCTGGCTAAGCAGTGCTAGTTTCATGTGGTGGGGAAGGCAATGTCGTCTGAATTTGGACGAATTGCAGACCAGAGTCTGGTCAAAGCGTCGGTGAAAGGATCAGATTTGCATGACCTGGCAAGCCTTCAAGCTCTCTCATCCAACGCTCTGGCTGCACTCGCAAGGGGATACGTCTCTGACCAGCCATGGTCCGCTTACGCCGTATGCCATGCTTTACAGAAAGTGAGCCTGCATTCACCATTGGTAGAGAGAGGCTCTGAGCCGCCAAGTATGCCTAAAGCACAGCTCAGACCTGCAGCCTGCAGGTCCAGCCCAACTTGCTGCAGCAGGTTGGGAACATGCAGATCCGTCGGTTGATGTACGTGTTGGTTTCTCTATGAACAACCAACTGCAGCTGGTGCGAGCCTACAACACCGCTCTTGATGTCCTTCAGTCGGCTTGCTTGCCTGCTCATTTTGAGTCCAATGACTGCCCGCTCAAGCAGGGCAGTATGGGCAGTATGTTGGATAATCGAATTTGCCTTTTGCTCCGAGATGTTTAGGGTGAGTAGGAAGATGCCATGAGTTCCGTTTGGTCTTGTCCCACAGGTCGGGCATCAGTTTGCATACAAGTCGCAGGCAGTCTTCTCTACAGCTGCTGGGCAAGCTGGTGGCGTCTCTGTCTGTGCGGATGCCAGCGATTCTGATGCGAGCTGATGTTCTATCTGTTTTACACGAGCTGCTTGATCTAAACCTAAGGTCGCCTAAGCCGTGGAGGACGCTGGCTGCAGGTAACTGCAAACAATGGCTCAAATCCAGGCACAGTCTCTGGAGAGTGCTTCTTGAGGTCCCGGTTTCGCACAGCCAGAACCTCGTGATGTCTTGGGAAGCATTCATGGGATGGAAGCTGTGGGGTTCCTACGCTGCAGGCTTGCCATGCCGCAGCAGCGGCTCTAAGCCTGCAACCCCTACACAGGTTCCTGTTCCGGTTCCAACCAAACTTCTCAATTTAATTGAGTTTAAATGCCAGACCAAGAGTTGCAGGTGCCACCTGGCCAAGTGCTTGCATTCTCTTCAACTTGTTCGGGCACCCTCTGGGTACCTCTGTTGGAGAAGGACGGGCAAAATTCCTCTGAAGAGCTGGTTCCCTTTTGAATGACAGGCCTGGGCGCGCATCAACGGCTCTTACCAGGCACATGGCGGCACGTCGCGCAAGTCACAGACAAGGCATCGATTGCTGAGGCGGCAGAGCGCGGTGATTCCGCTGAGGCAGGCCTAGTCTTTTTTGGAAAAAGCATCAAAGAAACGGTGCGCAGGCACTGGCAGCACTGACCGGAGCTCCTGCAAAGTCTGGCACATCTGGAGCATTCTTCTGTGCTCTTGCACTGGTTTTTTGCTCAGGCAGTACAGCCTCCATCCTGGAAGCGCCGACAGCAGTTGGGGCACATCCTCAATGTTGTCCGGGCGCGCGCACAGCATACTGGCGCGAATTGGCAGATCAGTGCCGAAACTGATCAGGTATTTATCGCCGGGAAACTGGGCTGCATGGGCAGGCACACGGACAAAGTTGCTGCTTGCACTGGCAGATGCCATCAGCAGGGATGCATTTGCTAGGGCGTGGCATCTCCACGCTTTTTTGGGGGCGAGGTGCTGCTTGCTTATTGAGCTTTGCAAGTCAGGGGGGGAGGGGGGGGGGGCCGCTTTGCCCTATTTAGCTGCTTTGTGCCGCTCGTCTTCAAGCAGTAGACCTTTGAGTTCTGTTCTGTAGCACAGCACCGGTGCAGCAACAGCTTGAAGACGTGCAAGCACTCTAGCAGTAGCAGCTAAAGTTCGTGCAATGCGCAGCATCATGGCACTTTGGGCGCCTGCGGATGCTGGATGCAAAGCATCTCCGGGATGAGAGCTTCAGCAGTTTTGTCTTTGGTGAGACTGCTGCTGTTCGAGGCATCAGTGCCGTATCATGAACTGGAACAGCACTTCCCCATCTGTAACACAAGTCAGGTTGCGACAGCCTTGGTCAACTGCGATCAACGCTGGCACAAGGAGGTGGCTGTTTGGCCAAGAGATGTAGTTGACTCTGCTCTGGGATGAGTGGTTTTCACGTGGCGCATGTCTTCTGCAGTGAGGACTTAACCCGCTTCTACCTTCGTCTTTCACAGTGGGATCGCGAAGGACTGGGGTGGCAAGAGAACGCGGATTCTGCAGCTCAAGATGAAAAGTGTCTCAAAGAGGAGTGCCCCATACACACAACTTCTACGATGTGTCGCTCAGCATGAGATGGCCACAGCATTTGCGAGAATTGCTGGGCATGCCATTCTGACTTCACCGCTTATCGTGATGGACTTCTTGCCTTCCTCCACAAGGCATCGCCATGATGATCGAAGTTTCTCTTGCCACGAGGTCAACAACCTTCATTCTGCTTTCGCGCGGGGCCTCCTTCGCCAGGCTGCCCTCTCCGGCGGAGGAGGCCGCTGGGGAGTTGCGCTGAGCCTGTACTTCCTTCAAACTACTCAGCAGTTGAGAGGGCAGAGCCGACCCAATCCTGGGGCGGATGTTGCAGTTTAGTAACTCAAAGTCTGCAGCGTGATCAAGGCCACTGGGTCAACTTACCCCTGCCTATGGCTGCATCAGAGGTTGAGATGGATCAAGCCGCACGGGTGCGCCTCCTTGAGGCCTTAGCACGCCTAGGCCTGCGAGTGCTGCGACAGCTGGCCATTCTGCAATCCCCCCCGTTTTTGGATCCTTGTTTGCAGGCGGATACCCTGAGCGCTGTGGCATCTGCATAGCAGCGGAGGACACGGTTTCCGAGGGCTCTGAGCGGCGCTTCCGCCTTGGCGCGAGCCTTACGCAACATGCTGCTGCGGGGACCGCCGCAACAAATGGGTAGCGCTGGGAGGTACAGATGCTCGCGCATCCTCGCAGGACCCTGCAATGACGCAACATGTGATGCAAAGACTTCCTGCGGGAAAATATTGCCATGCCACACAGCAGCAGGGAGAAAGGCTTTGCTCGTTAGCCTTCTATGTACGCTTGTCTAACAGCCCAGGCACTGGCCTTGGACAGACGTCCATGGGATGATTTGCACGTATCACCGCTGGAGATGGAGGAACTGTTTGCTCGAGACGTTGCTAACGCCAGACAGGCGCAACAGCAGCAAAATTGTCGTGAATTGCCTAGCCTTTGGCAGCCTAGCCTATCGCAGGTGCTGCTGCTTCGCGGCGCCTTGGCACCTGAAGATAAGCAGCTGCAGAAAGCTCTCCGCTTTGCTGCATCGGTGCGTGCCGTAACCGCTGCTGGGGCTGACTTTCTGGCAAGGGACCCCCCTTTTCACGATCACGTGCCTGCAGCAGCATTTAGCGGCCTTTTGCGACAAGGTCAGTACTTCGTCGCTACTGGCAGCCTTGGACGACACGGTGGCAGAGGTGGCTGGCCTGCCTCTTGGTGCTGAGTGGCGTTCTTTGTTGGCCGTTGGGATTTGTCTGGAGTCTGGTGCACCTGCAGGGAAATGACGTGGCATGGAGGCTCCAGTGCCAAGGTTAGTGGGGAACGACCTCGTGCTGCTGACTGGTCTTCCAATAGGCTTCGGAGCACTCCTGTCAGTGGAGCTGAGCTGCCGGTACGGCGTACAGGTGCCAGAATCCCATTGGACTTACAAGCTTCAAAAGAATATAGCGTTATTCTGCTTCCTCTTCCTCCTGCCTGCCGGCTGGTCTTCCACTTTCAGAACCTGCTGACTGGCAAGACGGGGGTTTCGGGGTAAGGGCGGAAGCCAACTGCACGCTTTCAAGCCAGATCAAGCCAGCAACTGTGCTGCAGGCGCTGGATGTCGGGCAGCTTATGTTGACAGCTCCTCCTGGACAGAGACCCGCAGCGCCATTGACAACTCTTGGAAGTCGCGAAGAGGAGCGAAGCAGTTTGATGGACTTGAAATTAAGCCAAGTGGTCTGGATCCATTGCATCCTCAAATAGTGCATGTTCCGGTCGCTACTTGTGTGACTGCAAGTTTCATCGCCATTGTGCCGTGCTACTACCGCTGCTGCTAATCTGACAATCTCCCAGTATCCCCCGCTTGTTAAGCAGCCTGGCAAGCGAAGACACGAAGACCGGAATCTGCGGCTTTGCTGCTTTGCTTCATGAGAACAGTTCCTGAACAGATCTTGGCCTGGGAACCACAGCTGCGCCGCGCAGCTGCGCGGCAGATCTCCTTGAACGGCCTGTGGGAAATCCAGATCGCCACGGATCAAGTATTTAAGCGTGCAAGTTGTCAAGTCTCTAGCGGTATGCTCCAAATGGTCCTCTCAACCCAAATGTGCGCGGACCTCAAAGCTTGGGACCCTGCAGCAGTCAAACAAGTTTGCACGTCGCCCAGGGCGTTTTCACATGCAGATACCAAAGCCTGGCAAGCACGTTGTGGCCGCCGTTGTGCCGCTAAGGCAAGATTGCAAGATCTTGTTGAACAAGATTGGCGCACAATCCAGGTGCCTTTTCCGCCACAGGCACATAGAGGCTGCACACACACACATTCAGCACTATTGCATCATTGTTGTAGATCTGCTTGCAAGATGCTGCATTCAGACCGCAGCAGGCCTGGCAACAAAGATCTCGGCATCGGAGGCTGCATGGTACCGTCGCAGGTTGCAGGTGCCTCTGAGCTGGTGCGACGAGGAAACCATTGTGAGGCTGCATGTTGATGCTTGCGATTGGGAGTGTGCAGCTTGGCCCGCAGTGGGTTTGCAAGGGTTCTTGTCCAACAGGAGCATTTGAAGTGAAATTTTGGGCATAGCAATTCCTGAGGCAATTTACTTGGACTCTCAGCCGCTGGGGATACACCGCGGTGGCTACGATGCCTTCAGTTTGGAGATGCCCCTCAAGTGCCCTGAGAGTGTGCTTGTGGCCTTGGCCTCAACAAAAAGGTGCAACACTTGTCTTTGAGAAACTTGCACATTCAAGCTAAGGTGCGGGCTTGGGACCCTACAGATGAAGGTTGTGAGTTTTTGGACCATCCCCCTGTACCTTGCGTCTTGATCGAATGCTCAGCTATCCTGGCATTTTGTTTGAGCGCTGCGTTGCAATTTAGAGGCGATGGATGCTGCAGCAGTGGTTGGCAGCCACGCGGAAAGCAATCATTGAAGCCAGGCTCAATTATGAGCCTTGGCAGCCAGAGAAGTTTTAGTACATACTAGTCCGTGTCCACAGACAAAAGACAGCCTACGAGAAAATGCAACAAAATGCGTCAAAGTTGTAAGCCACCAGCGCAAGTGCCCCAGTGCCGGACACATTGAAGTTAAGGTACACAGCAGTGACCGGAATATGGCGGCAGGGCATTTGGCTTGAGCATCTTCCCCGGTGCCACATTCGAGATTTGCGAGTTGGCGTCGCCCAGCTGCAGGGTGTGACCGCAACGGCATGCCCACCACAAGCCTATCAGAGCAGGTGCATTTGCGCACGTCTTGTCAGGTACACATGGACGCTCCCCGCAAGGTCACAGTTGCTTGGCCTGAGTAACGCTGGCTTCGGCTTATCTGAAGCCATACAACTGAATGGACAGGTCAATGCCGCTGCGACGTGTCAAGCGGAAGCGCCTTGTCTATTTTGGCTTTTCGCTGTCAGCTTCCTACCTTCCTGTGTGTTGCAAGCCTTTGTGGCAAGGAGATGTTCCTGGAAGCTGCCCAGCTGCATTCGTTGCATGAGGGCAGTTCCAAGCCAACACGCCTCAGCAGGGTCTGCAGTCACCAAGCAAAACACTGCGGAATCACAGCTTGCTCTGCATGGAGCTGCATTCACATGCGGCATACCGGCTAAATGTGGCTAGATTCCTAGATAGCATACCTGCTTACATAATGTTTCACCCCGTCACAGGCAACTTCTGCAGAGCTAAGCCCTTTAGACTCGATTTTGACACATTGGTTTAGGGATCTGGGCGTTAGGCAGGGTTTGGGTTATTTTGGCTCAGGCTTGAAGGGTCAGGGCTTTGCCGTTTAGGGATCTAAGGCTTTGGGCTCAGGTCTCAAACGGTAGCTTTGAGCACAAGGCTAAGAAGGGGTTCGTAGGGTCGCTCTGCTAATGCTAAGTGGCATCTCTTCACTCACTTGATGCTTTCACCCAGCCCCCCAGCTCTGAGTTTGAGCAGTGCATTGGAGAATCTTGGTCTACTTCCATCATGACACGAGTGTCTTAGGTGCGGAATGGTGCTGGCCTGCTTGTTGGAAGTACTAGTGGTCCTTGCTGCGAGCTGCCTCTGGGCTGCATAGCAAAAGCAAAACCCATGCAGGTAACAGCAGGTTGGTTGGACGCTGGCAGGTCCCGCTTCTGCATGTACAGTACAGCCAGTGTTCCACATTGTTCAACAACTCTCAGCAGCGCTTTGCAACTCAGCTTCCCGCGCGAATCAGCCGGGTTGTCCAATCTTGGCAGACGACCAAGTTAGACTTGCAGTTTTTGCCGGCAGCACGACTGCGGCGGAAGTCTAGCTCCTTGTCATGGCGAGTTGGGCAGATGGCTGCGAAGAGCAGTTTGACAGTGACGAGGCAGGCAGCGAAACATGTCCTCAAGTTCCGAGATTAGGCGCCATTCTGGCAGGTGCATATCAGCGTTCCCGACACCCCAAAGGACCCATGCAGCCTGAGCATCCATTGCATTTCTGGAGGGCAAATGCTAGGTTGCACAAGTGTGTATTCGAATCTAGCGATACTCTTGCATAGTTGCACAGGATCCAGCTCCGCAGATGAGCCGCAAGCTTGTTTGGTTCTCGCAGCTGTGCTGAATTTGGTGTGGCACTTTGAAAGAATTGGTTGGATGCAGTCGAAGGCTGGCTGCTGCTGGCATGATTGGTTTGTTGAGCCTGGTAATCGCCGGACTCGTGGGCGCCTTCGCTGAAGCAGAGGAGCCCACACTGCCAGGACGCCGACGCACTCCCTTTCGCATGGAACTGGGTAGCCATGCGAAACAAAGCACAATAAAGCACATTCGCAGGATCTGCGGTGATACGCCGCTTGGAAGAGCAAGCGAATCCCTTCACAGGCAAGCAGTTCTACGTCAATCCCAGCTACAGGAGACCCACTTGCTAGAGCATTCTTATACTTGCTTGGGTTGATTTGGGCTGTGCATTCCAACAGCTTGCGAAAAATCAAGCATCTACCGCACGGACTAGCTGTAGATGTCCTTGCGGGCAACATATCTTGACTGGTGTCCGGGATCCATGGAAATTGCTATGCAATGGCATCGCGACAATAAGTATTCTTTACACCAGATTTAACGTAACGTGATGCTGCGGTCTCGGTCTGTAGAAGCATGGATGGCGATGTGTCTGCGAGAGTTTCTAGAAATCAACTCCAGGCAACCTTGCCTGAGCGAGTTTCATCGTCAAAGTTATACTGGTGTATATTCATTTATGTCGATCGAGCTTCTCAACTTTCACAAAAGTAGATCTCAGTTTCGTCAAGTTGGTCATGTCAGCATGAAGCAGATCAGGATTTACGACAACTGTCAGAACCCTTCCCTCCTTCACTGCCTCCCTTCCGTCTCTCCCTCTCCCTCTCTCTCTCTGTCTGTCTCTCTCTCTCTCTCTCTCTCTTTGCCTTAAGCATATACAGGAGATCATTGACCTCCAGCATTGTCTCGACGGACGGCCATATCAGGGCCACTTTGCAATCGATGATGAATGTCCCTTCAGCGTACTGGCTTGACAAGCGAGGATGCTGGGCCCAAACATTGGCATGCCAGCCTACACTGCATGTTAGGATGAACATCCACGTATTTCTTTTGGATGCGTCTGCCTCGAAGCCTCAAGCGATAGTAATGAACACAAGCACGTCACAAAGGCCCAGCAAGTAAACAGCCAACTGAGCAAGCAGCGGTGCAGGGTTTACTCTGGGAGGGGCCTCGCTTGCCAGGAAAGATCTTTGGCTCCTCCACAGACA